AAGTCTGTAATAATATCGCTAACAGTACCTACCGCCTTCCTATATCTGTTGGTAAGCAATTAAAACAGCAATGTATTTGTTATAAATGACTATATTAATAAAAAAATGTGATTTGATGTTAAATACTGTTATGTAATAATAATATGATTAAATGATTAAAAGTCTGTAATAATATCGCTAACAGTACCTACCGCCTTCCTATATCTGTTGGTAAGCAATTAAAACAGCAATGTATTTGTTATAAATGACTATATTAATAAAAAAATGTGATTTGATGTTAAATACTGTTATGTAATAATAATATGATATGACACCATGGACTTCGCAAGTTCACAGATATGCACAATATGCATTTAAATATAAGTAAATCATAAAACATTTTGGAGAAGGGCAGAGGCCCCATACGGTTGAGAGCTTACCATGCATTCCCACATTTACACTAAATAGGTCAGTCCGATCCTGAGTAAAATATATAAGTTACTAAAGAAAATATAAATCACATAGGAATAAATAGTAAATACACTGGAATTAGATCTAAAATGTACATAGTTATAATAAAAAAAATGATTCACTAATAAATAACAATTAGAAGTGTGAATGTGAATTATGAACTATTTTAACTAATAAAGTACACAAGATTTTTAAAATTTTTAAAATTTTACCTGAACATTGACTGTTTTCAGTTCCAATGACTTGGGATTCAAAAAAATGTCTCACATTAAATTTTACTAGAATAAAACATATTATTTAACATTTTATAACCATTGTTGGTTAAATGAGTAAAATAAAATAATGTATTACATGTTGAATCATCATTGTTTTCCTGGCTGTTAAAATGATATATCTCAGCATTTGAATTCATATCTATGTAAAAATAGTTAAGTACTCGAATTAATTAAGGGGATTCGAAGCAGCGTATTTATTACATGATTTAGACCTAAAAGCCTGACAAAAATACGCCTACTTAGAATTATCAGATTTCAATTCTGTAAAGAGATTTGAGTTCATTGACAATTTTCCTAGGTTATTGTGAAAATCAATTTTCGATATTTTTTTTTAGAATTCACGTTAAATCATATTTCGATTTCTCAATTTTTTGAAAATTGTTTGTGTTTTCCTTTAAAAAGTTAAAGAGTTATTCAAAAATCGACTCCCACAATAACCTAGAAAAAAGAACGATGAATTCAAATATGTATACAGAACTAAAATCCGATCATTCTAAGTTATCGTATTTTTGCCAGGCTTTTAGGTCTCAATTGATTGAAATTAGTTTCCGTTGGAACAAATATTTTAGTATGAGACATTATATGTTATGTACCTATTGTATATTGGTGCGAACCAATGATTCCGACCGTATCTACGCACACTAATGATCATTTACTTCGCACACAAACACACTGCGAAACTATAAGATATCGAATTGCCTATACACGACCCCTTATTTTATCACCGCTTCGAACCCCTTTAAGTTACAAAAATGTGATAGGCTCTCACAGAATTTGATGTGTAAACATGACTTAAACTTGACTCGTTACCGTTCAGTTTTAGAAAAATAATGTTAAGATTATAAAGTTTTGATTGATAGAAGATTTAGGTATAATTTATATGATTAAAACAAAACATTAAATTATCATAAAAATATAAAAATGTATAGGTACTTATATTAGGTAGTTATGCATACAATTATTATTCTATAATTTATATAAAAAATAAAATAAGTTATACACTTGCAATTACTTACCCATCAATACGTTTAAATATTTTAACTGTTCTCTTACCTTGATTCCTGGTACCCACTGTCTTCGCCATTTCAAAAATTTTTTTTGATCTTGTAGATCTCATATTTATAATAATAGATATATTACTTAATAGCCGTTATATTAAAATATAAATAACATTAAACTGTAATATTATGTAAGCATTGTAAGCCAAAAATACTTGGTAACATACAGTACACTGACACAAGTCACTAATCAGTAGAGAGCCATAAAGTTGTAAGACCATAACACTATGACGGAAGACCGTATACAGAGACTGCAAGGAGGCAATTGACCGAATGCAGATAATACACTAACCTACATGTTTAGATTTATTATTATTTATTATTTATAACTTATAAATAATTATTTCGAATTTTTATCCGTCTAAATACGTAGAAGTACAGTGTACATGCTTTCATATTCATTGTTCGCATGTCGTATCACGGACATAATACATATATAGATATGTGTGGTTCGCATAGAGTATAGACTATAGACTGTATACTATACTCTGTTCAGAATAAGAGCCAGGCGACCACGGTCAAAACCGGTTTTGCTACGTAAATCTGGTGGTTCATATTCTGAAGGGCATATGTAAACTCCCCTAAATTTTTGTAAATTCCCCTAAAACTATTTTGCTACTGTATTACGCTTACGTAAACTCCCCTAAAAACATTTTGCTACCGTATTACGCTTATGTAAACTCCCCTAAAACTATTTTGCTACTGTATTACGCTTACGTAAACTCCCCTAAAAACATTTTGCTACCGTATTACGCTTATGTAAACTCCCCTAAAACTATTTTGCTACTGTATTACGCTTACTTAAATTCCCCTAAAAACATTTTGCTACCGTATTATGCTTACGTAAATAATTAAAAACATTTTACTGTTTAAACACAGTAACTACGTGTACTTATTTATTTATTAAAATTTCAACGTCGCAAGAGCATAATTTTGATTAAATATTATGATATTATGATTAAATATTTGATTAAATATTATTTTGAGATATTTTTTCAGTTTCAACCGTTCAGTTCGGCTCGTCCGGATTTTTATCTATAAGTACTTACAGTTCAAATTTAATCTTAATCGCTTAGGTATTCTCTTGTATAAAGCGAGATTATAGTATTGCTATATCATATATATTATTCAATTACGACATTCCTTTTTGACGGTCGATTACTTTTATTTATCTGTCGTCTGTCGATATCAACGATATTAATTGGGTAGGTGCGTTGTAAAAATATGCGATTTCTAGACTTTTTGAAGACATAACAATTTAGTTTCTTTCAAAAGATAATAGTCTAACTATTTTCCCTTCTCAGTCAATCACATACTGTCGTCGTTACTTGATATATTATATTATTCTGTAATACATTTATAACATTGTTTGTGTTTCGTGCAGGGGCGTACTCAAGGGGGGGGGGGTCGTGGGGTTTGAACCCCTCCCATGACCTTACTAACCGATGCACTTTTGTGCGTTCTTGTTTATACATAATATAATTCACAGGAGCAATTTTCTAAAAATAAAATTTTAAGAAGGGAAAAAATAAACAAATATATTTATTTTCAATTTTATATCAACATGCATTATACAACGATTACAAGCATTATCTGTTAAGAACTGTATTATGATAACCAGATAAAATTTAAATCAAACATACAAGGTGTATTGATAAGTTGTCGTCACTCTGGACCCCTATACGTATACACTCTTGATTGAAAATATTACCACAGTTCTATAGTCACCAGAGCGCGCTTCTTGTCCTACGAAGGCCTGTATATTCATTCTGTTAAATGCAAAATGTCTTAAAACTTCTGAATTAAATTGCTAATATTTTTTAAAATTGAAGTCAGTATTTACAAAAACATTGAATCGTAAAAAGTTTTTTTTTTTAATTGAGTTGGTATAATAAATTTGGAGCCTGTAATTATACATTACATTTGCATTTTATTCATTGGCAATATTTTTTTCGAGTAGACATCAATTAGAAAAAAATATAATGTATAATTTAGTCACTTCTTTGGATATTTGCATCCTTCTTAGAATCTTTAAATTAAATTAAAACTATTATGATTCTACTCCTAATTCTAATAGTAGTCTGGTAGAGTGGAGTATTATTTTCTAGTGCTCATAAAAAACTAAAAACATGTTTAAAATATTTTGCATATTTTATTTTATGATTAGGTATATTATTTATATTATAATATTATTCAATAATAGTTATCTTATAAGCTTCAAACTAATCTTGAAAAATTGTTTAGTTTTTTTGGTGTTTTCTTGTTTTTAGCACCTTGCTCATTTTTTTCTTTTGTAAGTGAATATCATTCTTGTTTTGACATAATGCGTTATGATATATTTGGTTAATATTTGACTGTGTATTGAACGGTTGTCAAAAAATTTGCTTATATATTTCTTCAATAAATATAAATTAAGTTAGAAAAATAAACAGTGAAAAATGTATATGTAGTTTTCAAATTGAAATGCAACATTAAAAACATGATCTTTTACCGGGACAGCTAGTTATATTTATAATATTTAGATATTTTACACTATAATCTAGTACAGTATTTCTCAATTTTTTTTGTCGTGAGGCTCCCTAAATTTAATGTAAAACTGTCAAGGCCCCCTTAATCAAAATTATTAATTGTTTTTTCTAAATTAGGTATATACTAAAATTACTTGTACTATTTCACACAGATTAATTATTAAAATGTATAGTAATTTAATATACTTTTGAAAAATATTAATGATAGTATTAAAATTTAAGTATTTATTCTTTTTCCATAAACGCTTAAAGTCAAAAAATAAAAATAAAAATAAAATAATAACATTTTTTACTAGTGTGCCTGGAAGTTCTAAGTACATTGAACCCTACAATAATCTTAAAAGAAAACATGAACACGTTAATCAATCGGAATCGGAATATTGTTCTTTAAATAAACATTTTTCATTTTTGAAATTTATTTTCTGGAAAGTAGGTACATTACCATGTTTATATTTAATATTTGTAAAAAGGAGGTGAAAAAGTCCCTGTGATAAAAAACAAAATGTTCAACCCCCCCCCCCCCCCCCCCCCCCCCATTGAAAATTCCTGAGTACGCCCATGGTTTCGTGTGATATTTTAACATACCTAACGTGTTAATTAATAAATAATATAGGTAATAATATAGGTAGGTATGTCAGAAATTAAATTTATTACCAGTGACACGTGGTTGTTCATTAATTTTATATAAAATGCGTAAATATTATTTTGAACGTACATTGATTCAAACTGGCGAAAAGAAGTGGCGTTGTTGCGTTAAGAAATGTCCAGCTTTTATAAAAATTTTAGAACCTCCAATTATAATATCATCAAGTAATGAAGATCATAAACACGAATCTTGCAGTGAACAAATGATGCAGCGTCAACAGCTGTCTGCATCAGTTAAAAGAAAAGCAACTGATAATCCGCACGATAAACCAAGTAAAGTTTTAATTCAATGTTTAAATGACCAGTCAACTAGTAAATTAGAAATTACTGATTTAAAATATATTAAAAGAAACGCATACAATGCACGCCGTAATATTTTACCTCCTTTACCAAAAAATATGGACTCTATCCACGAAGCTATTGAGCAACTTAATATAAAGACAATCCAAGACGAACATTTTGTATTAACAAATAATGTAATAGATAATTTAATAATTTTTTCATGTAAATCATATTTAAGAGCTTTTTTTCAAGCAGAAATTGTATATCTTGATGGAACATTTGATTTCTGTGCTAAATTTTTTTACCAATTCGTAAGTTTCCATGGTTATTTAAACGGTCATTATGTTCCTTTAATATTTTGTTTATTGAAAGATAAAAAGGAATCAACTTATAAACAATGTTTTCAAACAATAAATGAACTATGTAATGAAATTGGTAGTGAATTCAAACCAAATAAAATTGTAACTGATTTTGAAAAAGGATTACGAAATGCTTGCATGTTACAATGGCCCGGAATTCAATTAGATGGTTGTCGTTTCCATTTATCGCAGGCATGGTATCGTGCAATTCAAAGATTTGGGCTCGCAGCGGACTATAAAAATGACGAATCTGAAATTAGTAAATGGCTACATTACTGTTTTGGATTGATATTTTTAAACCCAGAAGATGTTGAAAACTGTTTTAGTATTGACCTGTACAACGCTAAACCAAACGATGACCGCCTGGATACATTTTATGATTATTTAAAAATACATATATTGGTGAACGAGCAACTTTTCCACCTACAGTCTGGGCAGAAGCTTCTTCCGAATTGACAAAATCCACCAATGCTTGCGAATCATTTCATGCACATTTTAAATCGAATTTTAACTATAGCCATCCAAATATTTTTATATTTATTGATACATTAAAGAATATTTAATCAGAAATTTACATAAAATTACAAAGTATACATAAACCAAATAGTTGTCATAATAATAAGTTAAAAAGACGACAACAATTATTAAACCAACTAGTACAAAATTATAAAGATTAAAAAATAACTAAATTTCATTATATAAAAACAATTTCACATTATTACTCAATCAAAAAATAATCAATATCAACAATATCTACAATCAACACTTAATAATTTTAATAAAACTAGAATGACGATGAATATGAATTTTTCTAAAGAGTAGAATTTTTCTATAAAGAAAAAACAAAATATTTTTGGAGGATAACTAGAACCGCCTCCACGTGGTGACCTCTGGGTTACGCTAAATGGTTCTAATTTTATTTAGGGGAGTTTACGTAAGCGTAATACAGTATCAAAATAGTTTTAGGGGAGTTTACATATGCGTAATACGGTAGCAAAATGTTTTTAGGGGAGTTTACATTTGCCCATTCTGAATTATTATAGACGACAATATATTATTGCAACAACAACTAAAACAACGTCCTTACGTCCCTATTTCGTGCAGACGAAAAAGTTATTTTAGATTAAGGGGGTTCGAAGCGGTGATTTAATAAGGGGTCGTGTATAGGCAATTCGATGTCTTATAGTCGTTTCGCAGTGTGTTTGTGTGCGAAGTAAATGATCATTAGTGTGCGTAGATACGTTCGGAATCAGTGGTTCGCACGCGCATGCTCATGTCACATAATAAAATATTTGTTCCAACGAGAAACTAATTTCAATCAATTGAGACCTAAAAGCCTGACAAAAATACCATAGGCGTAGTCAGGGGGGCCTCAGGGTATGCCACTGCATACCCTAAACACTCAAGAAAAAATGAATAAATTATTGCCAAAACCTTGGTTTAATTATATAATACCTATATAAATAATAAGTGCCAAATACCTACAAGTGACAAACTGACAACACTATGTTGGACTTTTAAATTTATTGATTTAATTTTTTCTGTAACATATACGAATATTCGAATAATCGTCAATGTACACGTAATATGGATAAAAAGAAACAAACCAAAATGCAATTATTTTTTAAAAATGTAAGTACCTACTTATAAATTATATTTTTGTGATATACCTATACCTATATTATTATACTAAAGTTTATAGTTTGAAATAGTACATAATATTATATATAAATTGCATATATTATTAGGTGTCAAATGTCAATTCGAATTCAACAGAGGCATCCAGCTCCAACAGCGTAGAAAAAATCAAAGAGGTATACTATTTAAAACCATAAAAAATAATTTACCATAATATATTAATATTAAATTATTTTATAGTACCTACCTATATACATATTATATATATATTATATTGTAAATTATTAATATTCAATTATTTTTTATTTAGTTATTGCTAAACACACTAGCATAATTGATAATAGCAATATAATATAAGTTATAAGTTTATTACTTATTATTATTATCTCTGATGAATTATTAAATTTTTATAATATTATAGAAATGTACATTCAATTTGGTTGAATTAAATATTGACGAGACAGATGCCACTTATCATTAAAACATTAATAATAAAGAAATAGTATGTATTCTTAATTAACAAACCAATTTAATTTTAATTAACTAATTTAATTTTTCAGGAAAATATATTGGAAGTTGATCACAATAACACGACTATTGTTAATCATATTCCAGAAATGGTGGATATCGTTGGTGATCCTTTAGAATCAATTAACAGAATGCCAGCAAATAGATATGAAAGGTATGACAGAATAAAAACAAGGTCATTTTCAACCAGTTATTAAATTTCCTAGGAGACAGATTGGGGATTCAAATAGAAGTTTTCATGCTCTTTGGTATAAAGATTTTAATTGGCTAGAGTATAGTTCAGCTTTGGATGCTGCTTTTTGTTTTGCTCGTCGCTGTTTTAGCATGGACATAAGATCACATAGAGGTCATTCCGATCCAGCCTTTATTAGTACTGGATTCAGAGGATGGATCATAGCTACAAAAAAATTCAAATTACATCAAATGTCATCTATTCATATAAGTAGTGTTCAAACATTATCAGCATATTTAAAAGAAATTCCCATTGATGCACAACTAGAGAAGAAAAGAATAGAATGTTTAAGTAAACAAGAAGAGAAAAAAATGAATAACCATATAATTATGAAGAAACTAATTGATATAATAATAACTATGGCAAAAGGTGGTCGTACATTACGTGGTCATGATGAAAATTCAAAAATTTTAGAAAAAGGTTTGTTTCTAGAAATTGTTGAACTTATTTCTAGGTATGATCCAGTAATGAAGGATCATTTAGAAAAAGCTCCAAAAAATTCAACCTATTTAAGTCCAGATATTCAAAATGATATTATCAAAAGTATTCAAAATGTTATGCTTCGTTCTATTATTTCATCGATAAAGTGCAAACCTGTGTCTATTATAGCTGATGAGACAACTGATTTAGGACACAATGAGCAACTTTCTTCATCAAAATATCTGATAACAAGAGATTTATCAGATATTTTGATGAAGACACTTACATGCCTGTTGAATGCTTTATTGGTCTTCATAGAGTTGAAAAAGTTGATTCTCAATCAATATTTGATGAACTATCCAAAATGTTATCAAGTTTAACTATTGAGTGGAATGATATTACATCAGTTTGTTTTGATGGAGCGGCAGCCATGTCAGGTTCAATAGGTGGTGTTCAAAAAAAAATTAAAGAAATTAATTCTAGTATTATGTATAAACATTGTTACTTCCACTGCCTAAACTTATTACTAGTTGATGCTTGTACGTCTTCTAAAGAAAATCGCATAGTTTTTGAATTTTTTGGAGTAGTGCAACTAACATATGCTTTTATAGAAGGAAGTGCTGTACGTCACGCTATTCTTGAGAACATTTTTAAACAAATAAATGTTACATTGAGAACTATGAAGTCACTGTCAACAACAAGATGGGCATGTAGGGCAGAAGCCGTCAGTGCTATAAAACATAATTATTTAGCACTGATTAAAGCCTTAGAAAATATAACTTATTCAACAAAACAAACAGATGTTAATGCTAAAGGACGTAGATTATTATATCAACTTAAAAATTTTAATTTTATACTTGGACTTTATATGATGGATCCTATATTTATATTGAGGAGGCACATAGGGGTGGGTCTTCCTTCTTCATCTGATACTGGTATGTTAGTGATGTATGTGCAATACGGATTCTGTTAACTGAGGTTTCCATTTTCCTTGTAAAGTCTGGTGGAGAAGGCCATGTGTGGATGGTATTTTTAATTTCGTTTATTGATTTCATTGCATTCAGACAAAATGTGAAAAAATGCCTTTTCGTAGGTTTTTAATTCCTTATCAGGTAGTAGAAAAAATAATAGTGGTATATATTTACCATTTTGCAAGCCATGAACTGTAAAGATTTGAGTAAAAAGTCTTGGGCAACTTTTGAAAGTTCCGTCAACAAAAATTGTATCAACATTACTTAAAAACATTAAGTTACTTTTACAAGAAAATAATAAGATATTCGATTCCGTATCATTTACCAACAAAAAGTTTTCACTACGATTGGTTAATAAGAAATCTCTCATATTGTCTAATAGAAGTATGCAATTCCTCCAAATTTTTTGGTAATTTTGGCAAAATAGACGATCGTGCATAATGCATATTTTTTCTGATTAATTGTAAATCATATGTAGTTAAAGTATCTACATCTCGTGTAAGTAATTCACGATTAATGATTTTACTTGGTTTTTCACAAATATCGTCTATAGCTTTTCGTTTTAATTTATTACTCACGAATTGACGGTTCAATATTTCGTTTACTTCATCATGCCTATGATCAAGAACTGTTTGGATTACTTTATTATCGGAGTTCAAATGAATATAAGCTGTACAAGTTTTTTTACAACAACACCACCGTTCTAAATTATTTTTTAAGTACTTGTGGAAGCGAAATTTGTATAAACCAATCACAAATAAATCCCGTTGTTTTTCGCTAAACATAGTTTTAATTTCAGACACGCCATAGTTATTCAAAGTTAAAAACTTGGTTTTTAGTAAAAAGTAACACGTGATAATAAGTAAAACGTTTACACTGCACTGCGACAATAATTGTGTTTGTCTACAGAACGTAATTCACTAGAAAATTATCAAAGTTATAACGTAATCGGTTTTATTAAATCTATAATAAATTGATAATAACCAATTATTTCGCCTTTTAAGATATCACAGGTAATGGGGACGCAATTCAGACGTGCTAAAGAAAAACCCGGGACGCAATTAGTATTATACCTTTTTATGCGGGACGCAATTCGTAAGCAGCGATTTTTATAGTGGTTTGATGTATGGCCCGTTTGTTTGCATGAAAAGCATGTCACAGTGTTATCAGATAAAAATATGCGATATTCCGTTTGGTCAAATCACAGATTTCTATATAGTACTAGATAGCGAACTCCCGCCATGAATTGAAGCTTCAAGGTCGGTTGGCAATTGTATGGTATTTCATATGAAAAATAAGATGATATTATGATTTATTTTATATCGTATTTTATTATTTCTAAACATTTAGGTTACAAAATATAAAAAATTTTTTATATAAGTCATTTTACATTTACTATTTTATTTGACCGTTAAAAAAAATATTATTCCTAATACATTTTGTATAATAAATGAAATGTTTTGCCAACCGACAAAATGGCGGCCGTTCACAGCTGAGCTTCACTTGTAACAATGTAAATTGTATAAGAGTTCCTTATCTAGTGTAGTATAGAAGTCTGTGGGTCAAATTGTATTAAAATCATAGATAATAAAGATATGGATAGGCCATTGAAGCTTATCATGCGTTCGTGTATTACTATCAATTTTGAGGTTATATGGGGTAAAATGGTAAATATTATAATGGCAATTATTATTTGAAGTTTGAACATAACCGTAAATAGTACCCCATGCAAGAGAGAGAACATTCTTAAAGATATTTTCTCTCTCCTACAAAAAAGAACGCAACCTCATACAGTGTTAATATAGCCATGGCCTATCCATATCTTTATTGTCTATGATTAAAATCGAGCTCGGGATTTTATCACTGTGCTCGGGGTATATATAGTTGTCGTCTGAAGCTGCCTCGAACTCGTCATTAGAAAAACCGGCCTTCATAAATGTAATCGGTGATAGCATTTTAATTGAAAGATTGTTAATAGCTTTAGCGATTATGTCGTGTGGGATTACAGGTTGGACATTGGACAGTATTATGCGCTCAGCAAGGTTGATAAGGCGGCGATACGGTATTTCGGAGTTGTTTATTGTTATGTAATGTTTTGCGATGATTTGCTCGACGATGTTTTTGCTTGCGAAGTATGTACAGAACATATTGTACGACACGCGAGATGCAAATTTTATATTGTTTGGTGACGTAAGTAAGCTGAATGCTTTAATGTATTCTATCTGTGGTACATCTTGGATTGTGTTGAAAATTTGGTCCTTTTTCGGGAAAGAGACATTTGCGGTGGTCTCGGTGAAAGTTGTTTGCGTGTTTGGCTGTGGTGAGTTGGGTGTGGAAAGAGGGGGGTTGATATCGGGGTCATCCGACATGTCGGATGGTCACGTGAGATCTATTGACTAATTGGTTAAGGGGGGGGCCGTAATTAAAGAGCATACCTTAATTGCGGTGAAGTTCTCGTAGTAGTTATCGGGAGCTAAAAATGCGATAAGTGACCGACGGTAACACACATACTGCAAAAGATGTATTTTATATAATATAAATAATAAATATTAATATTTTTATAGAATTACTTACCTATATAATTTTGGTATTAATTGATAATAATTTGTATTATTATTTATTCATATAGGTACGGTGCTGGGGCACAGGTACTGGGGTTAGGTAATGTGTAATACTCATAGCAGGTATTCGTACTAAAGTTTTACCGTAAAATATATAAAAGAAAACTTGAGAACATAAACTTATATAGATTTACCAATAATTCCCTCTCATATTTTAAAATAATCACATTTAAAACGTTTAGACCATAAGTCACAAAACTAATAATTAAGAAAATTGTTTTTCTATTCAAAATTTGAAACTCGCTTTTCTATGTGAATGAGTATTGTGTGAGTACCTACCTACCGAATTCTCTGACGATACATATTACATAATATATTATATTACACCAATAAAAATTTTGCGTATTACGGTGTAATACGATATAGATATTATACTATTATACTTCAATTTACACGATTATACTTGCATATAACCCAGATAACTTTTTGATACAATATTTGTCTGCGTATATTTTATAAAAGGTACATATCGGGTAAGTTTACAATTTTCCAAGTTAAAATGGCCTGTTGGTACGATTACAGATTAAATATTGCAACATTGTACAAAAATAATATAGTCATTTTTCTCAGTCACACAATTAGCCTTTAATATTTTTCTTAGGAGGGAGGGATAAGTAGTAGATATCTGATATACGAAAAATGTCTCCAAAAAAATCTACTCGTAATTAATTACAGGTAGTCTTTTAAGGACTAAACTTTTTTAAACCGTCTTAAAAAACTATATACAATACAGTTTGGTATGTAATATTGTATAAAAATATTCCACCAAACGATATTTAAATAATTATAGTAACAACTATGTTTATTAACCCTCAACAGGCAAGGGCCGGTCACGGGTGACCGGAGTGAAATAAAACTCTAATAACTAAATGATATCATTAACTACTAAGTACGGGTTTATCCCATACCCTTTTTTAAATAAGCCCACCACTCGCCTGAACTATTTTTGCTTATCTGCTATACCTCAGTGCGCTTCCAGATTTTGAAGAAGTTAAATCGTTCTTGTCATCGATCACGGACGACCACACTTGTCTTTCATGTAAGTTTATTTTAACCGATTCTATTTTCTATTCTATTTCTGTTTGGTATTTTTTTAATATTTTTATTTTTTTCTTTATATTCAACATGGACAAACTTCTTAAAAGCGTCGAGTACATTACAGCAGAACTTTACCGACAGTTGGATGAAGATGATTCGTCAAGTGAAACAGAAGATCGTGTTTTAGAAAACGATAATGTTGTAGCATACGACTTTCAATTATTGTCTGACGAAGAGTACGATGAAGAAATAGAGACGGATCGTGAGTTTTTTGGGAAATGACCAAGAAACTATTTGGTCATCTCAACCTCTTTGCTCAAAGCACTCCAAAACTCCTAGTCGTAATCTAGTTATACACTTGTCCGGGCCGAAAGGGGACGCGAAAGGTGAACTCAAAGAGATAAATTGTTTTTCTCTTTTTTTGACAAATATATGGTAGAAAAAATTGTCAAGAAGAAGAAATCGCGATTAGATCTCAAAAATATACAACTAAACAGTATTATTTAGGACCCACTAATGTCGTTGAAATTCGGGCAATTATCGGACTTTATTTTAAAGCAGGGATATGTCATGGAATATCCATGGCTGATTCATTCTCGGTTGATAACGGTCCTCCATTATTCCGTGAGGTAATGTCACTCAATCGTTTTAAATTGTTGACATTGTTTGCGGTTTGATAGCAAATCAACGAGAAACGAGCGACGAGCGGTTAACAAGTTCGCTGCATTTCGAGAGATGTGGGACTTATTTACTATTCAGTGTAAAAATTATTACATCCCGTCGGAATATGTCACTGTAGACATTATTGTCATTTCGGAGTCGATGTTCGTTTAAAATGTACTTACCAGCAAAACCAGACAACAAGTACGGTCTCAAAATTATTTCTATCTGCGATGCCAAAACTTTTTATTTTTATGGAGGGATCCCGTAAATTGGCAAAGAAACACGCGACCGAAATTATCTACTTATACCTACCCAATATGTTCTAAAACTAGTGGAGCAAATTATTCGAACAAACAGAAATGTCACAACTGACAACTGGTTCACCTCTATTGAATTAGCTGAACAGTTACGTGCTAAAAAACTGACATTAGTAGGTACATTGAGGAAAAATAAACACGAAGTCCCTCCACACATGCTAGTCGTAAAAAATGTACCACCGATGACCACAAGATTTTTGCATGCACCTGAAATGACAGTGTTGTCTTTTTCAAAAACCAAAAATAAAAACTTTAGTGCTTTCGACAATTCACGAAACTGAGACGATAAACGAAATATCGAAAAACCGGAACAAATCGAATTCTACAATAAAACAAAAGGAGGTGTTTGACGTATTTGACAAACTTTTCCACCAATATTCTCCAACCCGAAAAACCAACCGATGGCCCTTACGATATTTGTATGGACTTTTGGATGCAGCCGCTGTTAATGAATACGTAATATTCAAACATAATAACTTGAACCAAGACAAACGTTTTGTACGATCAAAATTCATAACAACTTTAGCGTTTCAATTGCTGGAACCCCAATTGAAATTACCCCGAGAATGCTCTTTTTACCAAAGGATTTGAAAAGAACTATTGAAAAAATATTGAAAATACAACCGATTGAAAGTGCAGCACCATATAGAATAAATCGTTACTGCATTCGTAGCATGTGTACAAATAGTCAATTCACCAACCGGATCAATTTGCCAACCGAATGTAATTTAAGTTTATGAGTGATGAAGTAGTGATGTAATGGGCCTATAATATGATGATAGTCGCAGAGCCTTATGTTTTTAAGAGATCAATGGATAGGTGAGTTGAAAAAGATGAACAATGTGAATTTGTTTGATAGAGAGACAACCAATTTAGACAGACATACTGAATGCTGAAATAATCCAATATACATATATTGTATACGCATGTTAGCACAGTAATGAGCACTACTTTGGACAGTAATGGAAGAGAGTCGTGATGTTGACTGGCGTGGACCATGTGTATCTCCGGAATGGACACTGGCGATGAGTCGATTCTCTGTGGTCCTTATATAACATGATTTTGGTTCATCCCTTCTTCTTGTGCATCGATTAATGCGTGAAATTAAAGTATTGATATATTTTATTATTTTGTGCTGTGCGACAAAGGTTAGGTTAGGTATATTTTGGCGAAACATACACCGACATCCTCAAGGCTATAAAGCAAAAAGTAGAAATAGACGCTATCGGATCCCAAGTGGCGTCAATCAGGGAAGCCGGGGCTGGGGAAACGTTTCTCCAGCCCCACCCCAAGTCGGAAATTGACTTTTTTAACTTTTTCCAACGCCAATATTTAGTGCTCAATTCCTGCCAATTCCTGCCGCCACTCCCGGAATTCCTGCTCAAAAACACGCCCAAATTCCCGACCTTGCCATCCAAGGTCGGGAATTTACTTTAGATAAAATATAAGATAATATCTTTTTTATCTAGATATAAAACAGATAATTTTCCCCTTTTTAGGTTTTTTAAGAGTTCATCAATTAAATTATAATGTTTATACATATTTATAATTTTATAATTAATATTTTTTATTATTAAACGTAAATTATTAATTAGGTGGTTATAGGTACGTGAGTTAAAAATTATATATTCGTGGTTACGAATAATTACAAATTGGTAACTTATTTGTAAAACATCAAGTTACCTTAAGTCAGTAGCCAACTTTTTCTATACAATTATATTAACTAAAAACAAAAATATTTAATTAAAACAATGTTTTTTTTAACTTTATTATAATATCTATATAATATTATCTACAACATATTATGTGAATGAATAAAACTTTATTTAATACTTTTTAAATTACAAACAATTTATTATGTATAATTTTTTGGTTTTTGTAAAAAAATGTGGGCACTATAGTAGGCAGTGTTTTATACATTATAAAATATATTATTTCATATAAAAATTCTTTGTAGAGTAAATGAATAAATTGTATGAAGAAAATGGAACGTTTACTGCATTATATTAATATATTGGACATTGTAATTTATCAGGACATAACATTTTATTGTTTAAAGAATTAATGGCACGATTTAAAGGAATTAAAAACAATACAATCATTGCAGATAATTAAATCTTAAGAAAATTAACAATTTATTTTGTTAGGTTTTAAACATACTATAACTTTCAAAATTATTATGCAGTCCGGATGATGCCTTGTTAACTAATTATGGCATTTGGCCCATTGTTTTAAATTTCAAATTTTAAATGTTATAGAAGAACGGAAAATAAAAAGATAAAAATATTATCGAAGTTATCTGCAGATATGATCAACGATGATTCTCTTTCGATGTTTCGAACTTAAAGGCTGTTCTTTACGGTTAGGTTATAACTTAATTGTTACTGAGGATCGGTAATTATATAATATTTTAAATTATTTCGTTTTTTATTTTATTTAATATATATTGAATAATTCAAAAATCATAATGGATGATTTATGATAGTTTGTTACGATAATATGGTAACGTGTTATACGTGTTTATTTATTCTAACCAATTAAGACACCAACACTGTTTAACACCAATCACTTGTTTACCATAACATTTGAATGAAAGATCGACTCTGCATAGTGCGTACTATATAGTACGATATAATATTATCGTGTATGCAATGCATTTAAACGAAATTTGTAATTACATACAGTAAATAAATTATTATATATATAATGTATCTATTAGGTATATAGTTT